AAAAAAAAAAAGAAGAAATTTTTAAATTTCTTAACTTCAAAAAACATTTATAACAATGTTTTATGATCATTTTAATTTGAAAACCCTGGGTCATATGTTGAAGGGGTCAAAAACATTAGTCCTTCCACCTGTGATTAAGCATTTATTGGAATTATTTATGGTTCTTTGATGTGTTTTGTGCTGTTTTAATAACAATGCTTCTCACCTTACAGGATTATAATTTTGTTTAAACACCTTTTTGGTAGATTCTGTGGTGCATCTGTTGTTTAGATGTCATATTGGTTTTCTGTCAGACAATTAAATTGTCATCTATTTATGGCAATCGTGGTGTTTACAGACAATTAAAAAGCTCTCTGGTGATGGCCCCTATGTAATATAGTTTTAACATTACATTATGTATAATATTTTATAATTTAAAAATTAAACAGTTTATAAGCCATTACAATTAAATTATATAAAGAATGTAGAAGCTGTATAGTCCTGATTAGTTTTTTTGAAATGTTCGTATATTTGTTTAGTATTAAAATAGAATTATTTCAAATATTTAGGTTTCCTTCTCAACTAATGCTGAGTGTAGTGTTTCCAGCTCCAATACGAGAACCAAGCAGGTAACATTAAGTTTCATTAAATTAAAAAAAAAAAATTTTTTTAATTTATTTATATTTTAAAATTAATTTTTAGAGACAAATCAACAAAGGAAAGTGTTGTTATGCATAATTCTACAAGTGAAATAAATATTAATAATAAAGTGGAAAAAGCAGAATTACCATATTGTAAGTAATGTATATTATATTTTATGAAGAGGCCAGTAAATGTAATTAAATTAATCATGTACTTCAGATTAATTATTATAACATTCAAGTTCAGTTTAAAAAAAGTACATTAACTTGATAAAACTTAATCTTGATTTAAAAATTTTTAAATTTATTGATAATATGAATGAAGTTAATAATTTAGTTTGAATTTTTATTTGGAATGACAAAATTCATGGCAAGTTTTTAAATATTCTGTTAATACAATTTTAATCTTGCATACTTCAAATATATTTTCATAAAGTAGAATCTGCAAATTGTATTAACAGAATATTTAAAACATTCTACTTTATGAAAATATATTTGAAGTATGTGAGATTAAAAATAGTTTTTTGTTTTGTCATTTATTTAAATATTAGTATTATTAAATTATATTGTCATTTATATAAATTTTTAATCTATTATATCATATAGTTCACTAATCAAATTATATTGCAACTTCTATACTGATTTTAATGTATAAAAGTGTTATATTATTTGAAAATACATTTTCTGTACTTTTTATGTTGATGACTTATTTTGAATTATAAATATTAATCTTTCAATTCCAGGAAACAATAGATAAGTTGAGAATTTGTTCTTGACTCTTTTATTGTTTCCTTGATTTACCTTAACACTTCCTTGTTAACTATAGATTACTAAAACTCCTGGCCAAACTATATCATATTTTTATTAATTTAACTTTTTAGTATGCTATATATTTAATGTTTACACATGTGAATATGCATGTACTGTATATTTTTATGATTTGAAAACTGTTTCTCATAATACTTAAAATAAAAGGTACATTTTAGTATAATTTTTAAAAAATATGTTAGATCTTGTTTGGCACAAAGTTATTAGTTAGAAAGTTTCATAAGAGTTTCATATCCAAATAGGTGCAATATTTAATTTTTGTTACAGCATGTAAATTCATTTGTTAAATGATGTAAGTAATGCATTTATTAAATAAATGCATTATTGAATACAAATGCAGTTTTATAGTATTATCTAATAAGTTATTGTTTATCTAACACTATCAAATTTTTTCCAGCACATAGTGTACCAATGGATGTTCCAGGAGCAATATCTTTTATGGCACCTTTTGCAGAACCTTTATATGCACACGGTAATTTATTTTTACAAGCATATTAAACTTCAATTTAAACTTCTAAATCCTGTTTTACAAGTGATATTTTTCTTTTAGAATCTCTTCAATCATCTATAAGTAATACCAGTACACAAAGCCATCCATTCTTAAGTGAAAACTCTAATCTCATTCATTCAAACAGTTTTAATAATCTACATCGTCGTAAAATGAGAAATTTCACTACAAGTTTAGAATATGGAGTTGCTCATAATACTGCCAAATCAACATCATTAGTAAGGAATTTAATCAGTTTAAAAAAATATAATTTATTCAATAATAAATAAATTTATTTAGAATAAAATTTTATTAATTTTAACAATTATTTAATATTCATAAGAACTAAAATACAATACAAATATATTTTGTTTGAGGTTTTTATTTCTATTTTAGAAATATTGCATATAATTTAAAATAACATATTTAAAAAAAAATATTGTAGTTTCTCAGACATGAAAAAACTTAGTCTGTAAAAACTTATATCAATAATAGAAAATTTACATACAATATATATACACACAAGTGACATGAATTCTAAGTAAATATGGAAATATGAAGAAAGTATAGAAATTTAAAATTTATGTTATTTTCATTAAAAAAAAAGAGGATGATAGGTAATAAAATAGACAAATAATGATAAATTATTGTTGTTTATTTTTACTATAGAAATTGTAGTAGAGCTTAAACATAGTTTTTTTTATTTATGCAATATAAAAAGAAATTAATATTGTAGCAGTCCAATCTCAAATTTTCAATTTATATAAAATTTATCATAAAAACCAGAATTTTAGAACTAAACATGATAAGATTTATTACTTGTAATTTTGTGTGTACTCAGTAAGCTGTAGTTTGTTAATTTATTTTTTGTTTGAGATAAGATATTCAAACTAACAAAATAGCTAGGTATTGGACTTGTTATCATACAATTTCATTAACTTGCATGATTTAGAAGCAATATTTTCCTACAAGTAGCATTAAGTATTCAAATCATCTATAGTTGATCAATCATAGATGATTTAATGAGCTGAATATAAAAAAAAAATGTAAGTAAGCATTAATGTTTTATTTTTAATATGGTGTCATTTTAAAAACAAATTAATTAACTTTGTTTGTTATTTCATTTTGTGATAATTTATATATAAGCAACTTAAAATAATGAATTATTACTTTATAAATGTAATTTTTAACATATTTAGTACTTTATTTTGGTATAGCATACTTCTAATTTATTATTTGTTAAAAATTGTAGATGGTTTTTTATATTAAATTATTGATTAAAACAATGATATTTAGAATTAAACATCATTTTATATTTAAAAATTTTTATTATAGGATAATTTACCAGCTAAAAGAAAAGTAAATTTAGGACTTAGTATTATCATTAATTTAGAAAAACTTGAAGAGGAAGAAAGGTAATTATGAAAATTTTATATTAAATTTGTAAACAAATTACTAGAATTTATAACTAGCTATTAAAAAACAGTTATAACTTTTGATGAACTAAAAAATTGTCTTAATTGTTAAAGATTCTTCTTTGGTGTAACTAATAGAAACATTGCTGAAAATATTATCATAAATGCTTTTATAGTATAAAATAAAATTTTAGCAAAACTTTGAAAAAGTCATTTTATGATTTCTGAAAAAAGTATTCAAAGCTGATCATCGTTACTTCTACTAAACATAATTGACTGATCATGATTAGACCAGAGAATGGCCTTTCAACATAATAGTTAAATGTAGGTTTTATGAATAAATTCATAATAAATATTCATGAACATTATTTACTATGTAGAATAAAAAACATCAAACATTTATGAAAGTAAACTTTGTACATAATTAACAATTTTTTTAATAGATACAAATATATAGGGTGTATCAAAAAGAATGACCAGATTTTAAAACTTTATATTTATTGATGGAAACATACTACAAAACAGGGACAAAATGCAAAATATTCACAAAATCTTAGTTTCAACTATGTTATTACAAATACTCTGTGTCCACCAGTAGCCGCACAGACAACATCTAGACAATAGCTAAATTTGTCATACACTCTATGTAAGGTATCTATGTTGACAGAAGTCACGGCAGCTCTTATTCTGTTTTTTAAGGGGGAATGAAAACTCTTTCCTTCACATATCCCTACAAGAAAAAATCGCATGAGGTCATGTCTGGAGATCTTGGAGGCCAAGAATGTAAAACAGTGTCTCGGGGTCCCTTGCGCCCTATCCAGCATTGAGGTAGTGTGTCATTGAAAAATTGTCATATGTTGTTGTGCCGGTGTGGTGGGGCTCTATCCTGTTGGAATATGAAATCATTAGTGTCCTCCTCAAGTTGTGGAAAAAGTCAAGTCTGCAAGCATTTAGCTATCATCTAGATGTGTGTGTGGCTACTGGTGGATATATAGAGTATTTGTGATAACAAAGCTGAAACTTTAAGATTTTGTGAGTATTTTGCATTTTGTTTTGTTGTATGTTTCCATCAATAAATATAAAGTTTTAAAATAGGTCATTCTTTTTGATACACCCTTTATATTAAATAATTCATAATTGAGATGGATCATTAGCAAAATCTCTTCTATGTGGCTTATAGAATTGAATTCATTCTCAAAATTAAATTTTTGATTAAACTTTGTCATTTTACATAATTATGAGACAAAGAAATTAAAAATGTAACAAAAATTGAGCTCCATGATTTCATTTTTGAGATACAATAGGGTCAAAGTGAGGATGTTCAAAGTTACTAGCATGAGCATGCACAATTTAAAAAAAAGTTTTTTTATAGCAATGGTGATGTCACTGCCATGGTAGAATGGTAAGTGATCCACCGTAGATGGTCCCCAAATCAATATTACTACTAGTACTTTCATTCCCTTCATAGTTCATGTTTGGACAGAAAACAAACTGTGCCTAGCAGTAATAATTTTGATTGGAATAACTAATGTTTATTTACTCTGATTTGTTTTGAAATGCTTTTCTCTCCTTCTAGATTCCATTCCATAGTGTATAATATAAACATATAATTTCTCAGATTAAAAAAGTAGATAGATCAGATGATAGTAATTTTATTTCATCAAATAAATATATACAGTAGAACATTGATTATCCAAATCTTTTGGGGACTGGGGTTGTTCGGAAAATCGATTTTTTGGATAACAAATTATGTATGAAAAAATATATTAACCTATCCCATGTTGAAATTCGTTCAAATCCTGGCACGTCAAGTACCCTCTTATGGTCACACCAGTGCTGATAGCTAAAACACGCACACCAGCAAAAATAATATTGGAGTAGCCTAAGATATAGCCAAAGATTGCAGTGCCACAGCACTAGTAGAAATTTAAATTTGCGACTGGAAAGCTTTTGGTTAATTGATGTTTCTGTTGATCATGATACGGATAATCGATGCTTTACTGTATTGTTTTACTATATCATCATCATCATATTTTTGATTTTAATGATACACATATATTTTACACTTATGTTTGATACTGTCATTTTATTTTAAACATAGCTTGTTACATGATTTATATTGGGCATGTTTTACATCTTTACATTCTTTTAGGCTGTAATTTTGTAATCTAAAATTAATTTTTACTATAATTTCTTAAATTTTACTAAGGCCATTTGTTTTTCTTTCAGACATTTTAAATTAATTGTTAAACTAAATTATTTCTAACTTTAATATGGAATAGTAGCTTCATCTATCTCTATTTCCAAATTAATATAATAAATATTAATATAATAAATATTAATAT